CAGTACTTACCAATCTGTGCACTGATCACCCCTCCTGGGGTGATCCTCCCAATGGACAGGATGATTTCTATTTTGCAGCTACAGTTATTAATTTCTGTCCCTGGTGATGATGAATTAATTATTCTCTCTCTCTCAGAAAAAATTGTCATTGTCGCCTACGTGTCATGTATGCTTTTCCCTGCCCTGAGTCCCCTCACTAAGCTCATTTTCACTTCTTTTCCTGGAATTACACTGATAAAATTAATATTATGCATCCATAAGTGTGTCCAAAATCTCTTCCTCTTGGTACCTTGAAAACAATGAAAGCTTTATTTTGCTCCCTGGTACATCATGGGTCAATGCATCTCTACACCTGTCCCTGGTGACTCTGTCGGTTTAAATGCCCATCCTTCCTTGTCCATCAAACCCCTAGCAGACATCTTGGGTTCACTGGATGCATTCCCGAATGCCGGTTGTATTCTGCATCCCATACCCAGTCACAAATGCTCTTTAACCACTGCCCGAACAGGCTATCGCGGTCCCACACCTGACTTAATCTGCAGGATCCAGCAAGGACGGACGGATCTTTGGACGTGTGCTGATGAGGACTGTGGGGAAATGTCAAGATGGGAGGACCTGGTGCCAGGTGAGTTGTGGCTCTCCCTCCCCCCCGACTGCTGTCAGTAAAGCTCCTTGGCCTGAGTGCCAGCGGGACTGGGGAAGTGCAGGCCTGCCCTGTGCTGCCATTGGTGTGTGCTGGCCTCAGACACAGTATATTATGCTGTAACGCAGGGACAGGCAATTATTTAGGCTGGAGGGCTGGGTAAGCAGTTTTGTTGAGTTGTCAAGGGCTGCAAGGGTGGCCCCATCCCTTGATTGCCATCTTGGAACTAGACGTCCTGTCCTTACCTCTGACCTTCGCCACCAGAAGTCCCTCCCCTTGTCCCCAAATATACTCCTTTTGGGAAGGGGATTAGACATCTTGGATCAGGAAGAAAGCAAAAGCCAATTATATAAAAAAAATCAAACATCCATAATAATATATTTTAATGTTATTTAAAAAATATATATTGGCCCTGATTTGTGAGTGTCTGTGCTGTGTATCTATAGGAATGAGTGCATAATAGCTCAGAAAGAAGTCTTACTCTGGTATATTGTGGTGGCGGGGTGTGTGGAGGACTATGAGATGTGGACCTATATATCGGTCTGATATTGGATCAGCACTGATATAAAGAAAATTGAGGGTATTGGAAATCGGCCTGATGTGGCCAATAATTTGGCAGATTAATGCCCGTTTGTACAGGATTTGTGTGGGGCTGTGGGGTGCATGGAGGGGGAGGGGAGGTGTGTGTGTGTGTGTGTGGTGCGTGCATGAACGGGGCTTCCCCCAGAGGCTTGCGGGTGTGAGTGTAGGGGAGGGTGTGGGGTTTGTGGGGTGTATGATTGCGTTGGGGATGTTGTGGTTGTGGGGTTTGTGTTGGAGGGCTTGAAGGTATGTGGGGTGTGCATGGGAGCCCCTTTCCTGCCCCTGCCACGCAACAGCCCCCCAGCGCCTGTATACCTGTGGCTTGTTCCCCGCCACAGCCAACAGCGCACAGCCCCAGCATGGCCCATACCTACTCCTCCCAGACTTGGGAGTTGCAGCCCTAACCCCGTGTGCCCTGTGCCAGCTCCGGGCTCACCCCTCCAGGCTGAGCAGCAGCAGCTGGGCAGAAACTTGTTCATTGCGGGGGGAAAAATAGTCCCTTCCCTTTGCTGCTGCCAGGCAATTTTTGGTGTGGCTCCCCGCGCCATGCTGGGTTTCTCTGCGACTCAGTCACCACCGACTCTGGGGTGCCCTGCGACTGCTCTGTGCTGCCACTGCTGCCCTGCCAGGCAGCTTGGAGGTGAGGGTGATGTGGTAGAAACTCAGGGCAGAATTAGCTGCCGCTGCCCAGACAGCCTAGGAAGCCAACTCAGCTGCGGAGCCATGCAGCCCCATTGCATGCCCGGCAGGCAGCAGGATGCAGCACAGGTGGGGAATGCCTCAGCCAGGCGGGACCAAGGAACTCTGCGTGCTGACAAAGACCCTCCATGGGTTGGATGTGGGCCGCCGACCGTATTTTCCCGACCCGACTGTAATGTTGTTCCCACCCTCTGAAATTGAACAATGTGGAAACAAGCAACTCTTCCCTTCTTCTTCTAATGACACATGTTAGGGCACAGTCAGGTTTGCTGTCTTGATGGTTGTCCCAGATCTAATTTCCGTGGGCTGCCACGATCTCAAGTTGCCATCTTCACTCAGCAAAGTAAGCGTTCATTCCCCAGCCCAAGGTAGCCGTATCTGTGTAACACCCTCTCCCATGGTTTGATGGTTAGGGTTAGGGTTATCTCTGGCATGGGTGGGATTCCTAAGATTTCAGGTTGTGGGGGGAAGTGAATTACCCATGGTTTGCATCAGAATTGTCCCCTCTCCGTTTCTTCTCTGGGGCCTTGAGTGTCAGGAAGCCTGAGACTCAGCAGAGTCCTGGTTCAGGGTCATGCCGAGGCCTTAGGCCCTTTGCAGATGCCTGTGACATGGAGGTCATCTGGGACCGGTCAGCAGAGGAAAGCTCCATGGGTGCATTCGCTGCACAAGAGCTTTCCCTGAAACAAGGCAGGAAGCTCAGCCCTGCTCCTCTCCCCAGAACAGAGCGCCACAGCTCTACATCCTCCCCTCAACATCAGCCCATTAGAGCATGAAGTTATTCAGGAACTGCCCGAATGTACATCCCATGTGTGCTTGCCCCAGCAGGGCCTGAAGTGATGGTACATTAGGGAACATTAGCCCAGCACAGGGACCTGGTCCTTCCTCACCCCAGCACTTCAGGTTTTGGCAGGAAGACCTCGTTTTCTTGAGGAAACACGTGCCAAAGTCCAGGCCTGCTCTGAGGCTTATCCAAGGAGAAGGAATAGCGGTGTTTGCTCTCTGCCAGCAGCATAGAGACAAATGTGGAGTGTCTCTTCCCCATGCAGGAGGTGCCTGGCTGCTGAGCAGAGCTGAGGAGCAGCCTCCTGTGGAAGAGTCTGCAGACATGGAGCCAGCGCAGACTTCCCCAGGGAGTTTGGGTGAGATGGACTCCCTGAGACCTGAGAAGGAGCGATGCTACGAGAGTCAGGGGAGGCCCCAAAAGAAGAAGCAGAAGGAAAAGGTAGCCATGAGCCAGGTACCATCTCTAGTTGGGCATGAGGGTGGAGAAGGGCCAGAACCTAGAAAGAGCCCGGGTGCAGGCAAGAAGTTGTGCAGTTGAGAGACCTAAAGAGGCACTGGAAAGATGCACTGCATGCAAGCAAAGGCAGTGGAGAGGACCTCGGAGGGAAGCTGGAGCTCACTGCCCAGCACAGGGGCAGAGCTCAGCCCTAGCTGAAGGTCAGGAAAACCTTTAAGTGCTCATCACTGCTGGCTCTTCACAAGATAAGGTAGACTGGGGAGAAGTACCCATTATGCACTAAGTGTAGGAAGAGCTTCACCTGCCTCTGCCCTGGTTGCTCACCGCTAGACCCATTCTGGAGAGAGACCCCACCGCTTCACCAAATTGGGGAAGAGCTTTGTGCTCCCCACAGACCTGGTCAAGCACCTAGATGTGCAGAGGGGGAAGTGTCAGACACTGCTGTGGCACGAGTGGCAAGAGCTTCACTGCTTTTTCTCCTTGTCCCAGGACCGGTGCATCCCCCGAGGGAGGAACACTCACCACTGCACTGAGTGCCGCAAGAATTTCATCTGCTTGCAAGACCTGTCCCAGCATGAGTGTGCGCGACACCACTGCACCAAGTGTGGGAAGAGATTCAGGCAGCTCTCCAAACTGGCAAGGCACTCGTGCATGCAAACAAAGGAGAAGCCCCATCAGTGCTCAGAGTGTGGGAAGAGCTTCACTCGCTCCTCCAGCCTGGCTGAGCACCAACGTATCCACACAGGGGAGAAGCCATATCAGTGCTCAGAGAGTGGGAAGAGCTTCACTCGCTCCTCCAGCCTGGCTGAGCACCAACGTATCCACACAGGGGAGAAGCCATATCAGTGCTCAGAGAGTGGGAAGAGCTTCACTCGCTCCTCCAGCCTGGCTGAGCACCAACGTATCCACACAGGGGAGAAGCCATATCAGTGCTCAGAGAGTGGGAAGAGCTTCACTCGCTCCTCCAGCCTGGCTGAGCACCAACGTATCCACACAGGGGAGAAGCCATATCAGTGCTCAGAGAGTGGGAAGAGCTTCACTCGCTCCTCCAGCCTGGCTGAGCACCAACGTATCCACACAGGGGAGAAGCCATATCAGTGCTCAGAGAGTGGGAAGAGCTTCACTCGCTCCTCCAGCCTGGCTGAGCACCAACGTATCCACACAGGGGAGAAGCCACATCAGTGCTCACAGTGTGGGAAGAACTTCAGTCACTCCTCCAGCCTGGCTCAGCACCAGCTGATCCACACAGGGGAGAAGCCATACGAATGCTCAGAGTGTGGGAAGAGCTTCACTCACTCCTCCAGCCGGGCTCGACACCAACTTATTCACACGAGGGAGAAATCATATCATTGCTCTGGGAGTGTGGGAAGAGCTTCCCTTTCTCCTCCCCCCTGGCTCGGCACCAGCGTATCCACACAGGGGAGAAGCCCCATCAGTGCTCAGACTGTGGGAAGAGCTTCACTGACTCCTCCGACCTGGCTCTGCACCAGCGTATCCACACAGGGGAGAAGCCACATCAGTGCTCACAGTGTGGGAAGAGCTTCAATCGCTCCTCCCACCTGGCTCGGCACCATCGTATCCACACAAGGGAGTAACCCCATCAGTGCTTGGAGTGTGGGAAGAGCTTCACCCTCTCCTCCATCCGGGCTAGTCACCAGTGTATCCACAGAATGGTAAAGCCAACCTCGTCAGAACTGAGGACCACCAGGTGCCAACTGCCCATCCTGCCCTCCTTCCCTCCATGCCATTCTCTATAGCAGCTTCCTTGGTAATCAAGCCCAACAATTTAATGCGATCCCCCTGTGGTGGATCTCTACATCCTCTCAAGACCTATGAAATGCAATAGGAGAGGGAAATGACGTGCAAGCTGTGACATGTCCTGCCTCTTGTGCGGAAGGGTGGGGAAAGAATGAAGGCATCCTCTGGGTGAAATGCTGCGTGTTGTAATCTCCCTTTGGGAATACTGAGGCTTCCCTCCTTGTGCAAAAGCCTTTTGACTCCATGCGTATCCTGTAGGAGCTCTTCCACAAGGTTCATTACCCATCCTGCAGAAAAGGCCCTGGTGATTAAAGTGGGCAGTATGCTGACTATGAGCCAGCAGTGTACTCTTGTTGCCAAGAAGGCTAATGGCATACCCCAGTATGGAC